CGTCGGGCAGGTTCACGCTATTCACATGGCCAAAGTATAGAATTTCGGAGGCAACACTGTGAAAGATTTCCTCAAAATGAGTTTGTAAGTAATAATTTATATTTGTTGAGGCCGAGTAGGTTCATTGCAATGGACAGGCTTAGATGGATAGAACTTCCCGACTAGACGAACGGATTCTCACATCATTTGAGTTTTTCAATTCCAGTCTCACAAAAGCTTTAAAGTCATCAATAATTGTCGGGATATCGATCATGTGATCAAAGAGGACACTGTATTAGCTAGCGTGGCGCTAGCACTTCACTATATTAAATACTAGCTTCCCATAGATAATAATGATCAAGAACGAATACAACCATAATAAACTAAAGTACTTACACTTATCAACCAAGTTGATACCAACAATAATATACACTGATCTGAATGTTCTTCGTTTGACATACAATTCGTTTTCTGGATAGATACCATCCAATCATATCAAGATAAATATAGATATGGCTGCTATGCATAGCCACAACGCCAAGGAATCCTTTCTCGTTACCTAGCTGGGCTTACATTTCAGCCCCAGTCTAATTTACACTCCCCTCATCACCATTAACTTGTGGATCGAGCCTGATTCAAAATTCAACCTCTTTTGTTTCCCGTCTTTTCTTATTCTTGCGCTGATCCAACTTTCCACCTCTCCGCTCTTCGTTCCGCTCCGCTTGCTCACTTCGCCTAAACTATTCCCTGTATAGTGCAATCCCGCCCCACTCAGTGTCTCTAGGCCAATGAGCTGCAATATGAATCCCTCTGTTCTCGTCACTCTCTGGTTCATACAGCTCCCCCTGGGAGCCTACACTACCTATATCGACATCAGCTATTTCTTAGCCCTTTCGTTACGCCAACATGTAATGCCACTGCCTTTGTATGTTTCATTTTGTCTCCAAATACATATTTATCAAGTCCCATGGTGATAATATGTTCTAATTCTCACCTCACTTATTCCAGTTTTTTTCAGTCTATGGTCTCCCTCAATTGTACCACCTACACACTCCCACCTCAATCCCTTAGTCTCTCTATTCACCGCCATCTTCCTCACGTTTCCCACTGATAATTCTTTTAGTGGTTCCCGCATAGTCCCTGTCACGTCTCTCATTGGCTTTATTCTCCTCGTCTGCGAACCGTATTTCCACTTCATATCCGTCAACCGCCTGAGGCCTTCTTACTATTCCCTATCCAATTTCTTCCGAGTCATTCATGTGACTTTTCATTTATCAGTTATTATTGGCACTTTACGAAGCGATCGAAGGTACCGTTATGCATACTTTGCATGGGCACGACTGATAATTTTGCTGTATGTATTCATCTTGCTAAATGGTCCCACAAACAAATATGATAATCGCCCCCCTCCCGTCCCTCTAATTATCATGCCATATCAGAATGCTGATATATATGTATAAAAGATTTTCATACTGCACAGCATTAGCGTACGGCTCATGGACCTGGTATCTGCTGTGGCGAAATCGTCGTGATAGCAATGACAACGTTAACGAGGATGACGATGAGAGTTATATTGAACCCGGAATGAATCTTGTACCGCGCAAGATTCTCAGTCCATCTAATCTCACCTCCCGGAACAATTTTATTATTAAAACAATGCTTTGGATTCATGCGCCGCTTCACGTGATATCAAATGATCCTAGCTCCAACTTCGAGGAAAGAAGGGTCTGGGGGAAGTTGGCGGTGATAGTCGTTTGGGGATCGAAAGTTCTTGGAGTTGGTTATATGCTTTTAAAAAGTCTCATCGGGACGCCCGCCCTTCTATCCCTAGTGCGTATACCCAGTCTCCGTTCTTTTGCTAGAAGTCAGACTGTGTGAGTGAGTCTGCCAAGCTAACTGATCTCAAAGATCCCTTTACACCCACGATTTCCTGGCGAACCCTCAATTCAAATCACACAAAACGCCCGCAGTAAATGGATCTACAACAGACCAAAACTAGGACGCCATGACCAAATAAAAGCACCTTTGCAAGGCCGACAGCCTTTTCTTGCTTCATTACGAGAACGCCCATTACCTACAGATATCACCCACTTTGACGAAGAAGCTAATCACTCTACCGATATCATGAGTCTTCACAGCATCGCTGATTACAGCGAAGTTCCCACCCATCATCCATCTACATCGCTCAACACAAGCGACGTTCCGGACCGACAACTCGGCCCCTCTTACCTCTGTTTCTTGGACCCTTCCTCATCTACCGGCTACACCACTCGTCACGTCTCTACTTGGGCTCAATCACATGGAAACAGTTACCCTAATTACATTTTCATATCTTATACCCGCCTTCAATTCTATACCATCATTTCTGGAGACCCCAGCTTGCCATCTTCTATTAATGCTCAGCGACAGGCTGCCGCGGAGCAGGACATGGGAATGCTTATCCAGTTCGCGATACGTGCTACAAATACCGCAGGTATTGATGCTTTTTGGATAGATTATGAGTGTATACGTCCCGAAGAAGATGAAGATCCGGACAGAAGTATAGGAGAAGTATATCGAATATGTGATATCGTACGGGCATGTCACTCAATGGCTATAGTTGTTGGACCACGATTTAACTTTACCAATTACACCCATGATGCTATGGAGGGGGATTCAGACGATCTTTCAAATACAAAAACACAATGGCTACGAGACTGGGGAAGTCGTCTCTGGACTGTTCCCGAAGCTCTCCTGTGTCCAGGCGAACACCGCATTTCGATTTACACACCTGGTACTGCTGAGCCCGAGTTAGTCGCAAAACGGAATCTTCCAGGTCGTGTTTGGGATGATGCCATTGCCTTACGCCAGTTGATTGATCACTATGAATCTTCAATTCATCTCACGAAGTTGGAGTTGATTTCCATTGCCCTTGAATGTCTCAAGCGGCGCCAAACGGAGAAACGCATGGCCGGCGACGTAGCATATGCTCTACAGGGATTACTTCGTCAACGTCCTCGAGTTCTTCAATCTGATAGTGATTTCCAGGCTTTTGCAAGACTTTCTCTTGCCAACGATAGTGATATGCTTCTTGAACGACTTCTCTGCCTCAAATTGAAGGATAATCGGGCACCATGGCATGAGATGCAAGATGTTTGGGGAGCAAAATTATGGGATATCACGCCGATTTGTCAGATTTCTGAAGTGGTGGAGAATAATACTGTGATATTAGGGGATGCGAAAGGTGCGATGGTTAATTGGGAGTTTCTTGAAGCAATTGATTATGAGGCTACACGTCCACAGAGATTTGGTTGGGGACTGCTGAGAATCTGTTCGTATTTCAGTATGGTATTTATGGTTTCTGTGGTGGTGATGTCTCCTCTCTGGTCTCAAAGATCTGGCAGAAGGTTCGATACATTTTTCTCGAACTTCTGGAAGGTAGCTTTGGGTGTGTTCGTGGCGAATGCCATTATAGTACCGTGGGTAGTCCGATACCTTTACAAAAGTCCTGAAGTCCATCAAGCGCAGGCTAGACTGTATGGCGTAGCTGGGCGTCCAAATTTGGGGAGGGTGGAAGAGCTGATGTTTGGATCTGATCAAGGTCGCTTACAGTGGATGGAAGGAGGGGATAGTGTGACTGATCATCCCGATGGTGACGAATATAGCTATGAAAGCGGACTGAGATTGTTCACACTTATAGATACATGCACACTATCAGCGTTTCAATTCGAAGCCGAGCTTCCGCCATCAGTAGTATTGGCAGGTGCGCGCGCTCGTGGACTAGTACGGATGCTTTTGTGTTCTTATGATGCAAACACGGCGACATTGTATAAAGAGGCGGTTGTGCGGATGGAAACTGTCGTACTTGACCGGATGCCAAAGTTAAATCGGGTGCGGTTTGCTTTGAAGCCGACGAGGGATGATGTGATAGCAGATAGTAGATAATACAGACGCAAAAAGCCGGCTTCTTCACTTTGTCTTGCCTAGATTTGTCTGGAAATAAAGATCTGTGTAGCACTAGTTGAATATAAATGATACTCTTGCTTTCGCGAAATACATAATGTTTGACAAACGATTGTTATCATATATAGCAGTCCAACAAAACTCTGGCACTTGTACTAAATATTGGGAACATTAAAGCTGTTGTAGTAGACCTTCCACTCCCCCCAAAAGAAGGGACATAATCCACTGCTATAACCTGAAGCAAAACAACAATGATGGTCGGAACTCGGGAGCCAAAGGAACTATGTTAATGAATAGGACAACTCGACCTCAGACAATCGACATTTTGAGGCTGCTGAATCTAGTGAAGTGCCACTTTTTGTTATTCGAATATAGAGCAATCATTTCAATCTGTATGGTGGAATACTAGGATTGTCGACCGAGTACTTCATGGCCCCGTATTTCGAGTCAGTACAAAGGAAATTTTATCGAGGGCAATAAAGGCTCTTTGTTGTATTTATTACCTTTGTTATGATTGACGCGTACCCGCATTGCATACCCATGTTATACGGACTTCCTTTGTGTTTGAGTTTTCAACTGAGCGGTCTTGGACTTTTTTGGTAGTATATATTAGTGAAACGTGCCCTCAAATTCCATAATAAATGGTCTATGTTCGCTCCTTTAGCTCAGTGGTAGAGCGGAAGATTGCAGTTTCGTACAAATATCTTCAGGTCAATCGTTCGAACCGGTTAGGGAGCTTCAATTGCTCCAATGTGGCATGGCCAACTTTTTTACCATCGAGTATGGTTTTTTTGCCAACACTCTTCTTTTTTATTTTTTAAAAAAAGATCCTGTTCTCATCGTTCTGTACCGATACTTGCTGAATGATTCACGAAGCTTAGTCAGTCAGGTGGACACAGCCTTCGGAAGTTCGGAATAGTGTTAGCCTCGAGCCTCTTAGCTAAACACGTGGAGATCCGGAGATAATCATCTGATAAGTGGAAGCGAGATAACCCCTTCATCTCTCCACTCTCACCGCATCACCAAGCAAAATTCACATCAACAAAGAACATCAAACGTGATTCTTATCCTCGTACCAAGTAGAGTTTCTAGATGCTTAAACACATCTAGTAATCACAGTAATAAGGTCAGACTCTCGGCTTGAAGTTCGCCGTGCGACCGCTGGTGGGTATTGGCATTGATGGTAGGAAAGATGGTTGTTTAACCACACCATCGGAGCAATATCTTCTTCCGGAAGGCCCTTCTTCAAAGCCAAGGATTACACCGCGGCATCCTACAGCTCTAATATACGGAGAGATGCCGGTACTCTACAAGATACAAGCTCACAGGCTTTGTTCCCCTCTTGTCCATCTAAACTATACTCGATCTAATCACGAACTCCTTACATTTTTTCACGTGCGTATGGAAAAATAATTGCTTGGCCTCACAGAAGGTGAAAAGTGACAGGTACCGTGCGTGGGTCACATTCTTGTAATCTCCGCAATTTCACTTCACAAGGTACCAAGTCGACCCCGCTTTTTTGAGGTGAGGTGAATGGACAATTGCGTTTCTCTTCTGTGAGTTTGTGTATATAATGGTTTGATTAACCCGGCGATAGGAGGTTACAGAAGCTCTTCTCGCTGTCGCTTTCTAGGTCTCCAAATCAATCTTTGAAACTGTACACTCTTCAGTTCTGCACCGAGCCATCAATAATGCGTTTCGCAGCTGCATCTTTAGCATTGCTTCCAGCTGTTGCCCAGGCAGTTAACATTGTTTCTGCAAACGATGATGGCTGGGCCGAGATCAATATCAGAACTCTGTACAATTCTCTGACCAGTGCGGGACATGATGTTCTCGTTTCTGCCCCTGCAGAGAACAAGAGTGGTGCAGGTATGAAGTATGGCCTCCTTCAGCATTCTAAGGAACAAATCTAATTATTACGAAAAGGTTCTCTAACTGGTACACCTACTGTCCTCACTGAGGCATGCGAATTTAATTCCTGTCCAAGCGGGAGTCCAGCAGTAGGCTATAATAGCTCAGCTCCTCAATTCAACTACGTCAACTCTTACCCTGCGACTGCAATGGAGTATGGCATCGAAACGTTGGCTCCAGGATACTTTGGAGGTGCCCCTGACCTTGCAGTTACTGGACCAAACGTCGGAGGTATGTATTTAGTTGCAATGGAGGTTGATAAAATGAAGACTAATGACTGATAGTCAATACTGGTGTTATATCTTTCGTCTCTGGTACTGTTGGAGCAGCGATTGAGGCCGTAGGGCTCGGTGTACCAGCAATTGCTTTCAGTGGAGCCGAAGGATCCGCAACCGCCTGGAATGTTGCAGCACCCGCCTATGCCACTATCTATGGCGAATTAGGTGCAATAGTAGTCGATGCCATCGTTGCTTCCGGTACCCCATATCTCCCAGACGAAACGTTCTTAAACATCAACTTCCCTGAAACTGCCGATTGTACATCGGCGTCTGACTTCAGCTTCGTTCTTTCCAGAATTTACACTGCAGTTCCATTGGTTAGTGGTACTGATGTCGTAACTTGCAACAATGGAGGTAGACTCCCTACTGAGACCAAAGTTGTTGGAACCGATGGATGCTATGTCAGTATCAGTCTTGGTGGAACAAACAAGAGGGATAGTAGTGCTGCCAACCAAGCAGTAGTCTTGAGCAAGCTCTCTAGTATTCTTACATGCTTACCTTGATTGAGAGGGACATTAGCCCAACATCATGGGCGGGGAATTCGAGAAGACATTTCATCTGGATTCATCAAAATAGATATCCAAATTCAAAGTCATACCGAATCAAACTCCCGTTTTGTAAGCTGTACCGGGCGCGAAAGTGAATACCCTGTTAGTGGACGTGAAATATTTCAAAGAGAATGGTACCTGATCATTTGCAACTGTTGTGTCCAATCTGTACCACTCATGATCCACGTTAGACCACTGACTCTTCGTCGAAGCTAGAAGGTCTCTCCATAAACCTGTGCACGCAAAAATTGGCAAGAAATGCGTAATGATCAAAGTTCTCAGTACAGTGAAATACAATTCACAAGTCGCACCCTAGTAATAAGATGGAATTTTTGCAGGCCGGATAGTGTTGGTAGCCGTACCTATTCTTCTATCCTCGGTTATAAAATTCGAACGATGCTGAGCTTTCATCCTAACCATAGTATGGAGGACTTTGCAGGATGTAATCCTGGAGTCTTCGTTGGCTAACATGTTGGTTAAAATATCTTAGTACTTTGGCTTGTCACTGTACGGAGGTTTGTGGAGATCGCAATATATAAACCGCGACTTCGTTGGAAGGCCAAACTGCAGGTCGTTCAAAATGGATACCAAAGACGATGGACAATTGTAGATGAGAGGTTGACTGATTAGTTAATTTTGTATGTGATATCGTTTGATCTATACACCACTGTCTCTGCGTGGGCACGCACATTCCATGTTTCAAAATGGTAAAAAGAATGGTCGTGCATTTCGAACGAGATCACACAAAAGACCAGGTACGACATATGAGAATTGGTCAGGTCACGTGTTAAGTTAATATTATCTTATCTAATCATCATGTGGGCCAGTGTAGGTTACAACTTCAATCACAAACAATCAAACTGTAGGCCACTTGACTTGCAGATTTTGAACCTGATAACTTTGAATTCTGTCCGTAGATGGACTATCTGTTCGATTCCACTTCAAATTTTCTGATCTCCCCCTCGAACGTCTCGCATGGATCACGCCAAAAGAATCGACCTTGCCTGTGTTGAATGCCGACGAAGGAAGCGCAAATGCGACGGGAGAAAACCACAATGTTCTTCATGCCAGGCTCAAGAAAGAGAGTGTGTTTACGAGAATGAGCGAAGCAATCGAAAGTGAGAATGAACTTTGATCTCTACTTTCTAGTACTGTCAAAGTAGAGTTAGAGCTTGCTAATCTATTTCCGCTCAGACGCAAGAGAGACCCAGAAGAGGTTGAACAACTCGAAGAACAAATTGAGATCCTTCTACAAAGGGTAAAAGAATTAGAGAATGAAGCTTCTTCTGGTAACTCTACGCGCAATGCTACTCTAGCATCAACATCTTCGCCCACAAGGCCAGGGATGGATGGGCTTTCTGGAGCTCCTTCTAACCAAGAAACACGATCGGCTTCTGCAGTCGACGAGGTAGGAAATTTGATGTGGAAGCTTAAGATAGATAGCAACGGAGACACTTCATTTATTGGCCCGTCGTCTAACCTCCAGTTTATATCTGCTGCTCAAGAATCCAGAAGTGACAGCCAGCTTCAAAGCAATCCGAGAATCACGGCATCTGATATGCCTTCGTTAGACCAGTGTCTTGCGGATAAGGCGTTGCAACAGGAGCTCTTTGATGTCTTTAACTCTGTTGTGAACCCAAACAATCAATTTATTGATCCGTTTTTTCTCAACAACTTCGATGTTCTTTCTACTGGAGCTGACTTGGATGAGATATTGCTACGAACTGCAATGTTTGCTCTTGCAGCTTGTTTTTCCGCGAGAGAAAATGCTACTCATATCGGCGATATGTTTTACAAGAGTGCTGAGAATATTGTCCAGCAGTGTTGTCGAATCTGCCCATCGCTTGTTACCGTTCGGGCGTTGGCAATGCTGTGCTGGCGGGATCTCACCTTAGACAATGAAAATACGGCCTGGATGTATAATTGTTAGTCTCATTGAAAGACCTAAGAGCATTGATCATTAACCAGTATCTTCTCTTAATAGGTATGGGCGCAGCTCTAACAACACAACTTGGCTTGCATGTGGTGAATCTGCAGAATATCGCAGGTATCTCACCTGAAAGCAAAGACTCGCGTATCCGAACATTCTGGCTTTGGTTTCGGATCGACCGGTAAGCTTGGCAAATATATTTATGGATATCGACTAATTTTCAAAGAATTGCTACATTCAGCTTAGGAAGACAATGCTGTATACCATGGACTCGTGTCAGAACTCCATGGTTAGAGAGTATTCTGACATCATCAGCGACGCTCCCAGAGCTCGTTTTCAATTACGAGTGTCAGCTTCTTTTTTTATTCGACAAATATATGGATCAAATGTATGGTCAGCTAGGTATAGCATCCAATTTTCATTGCTAATAGCTTTAGTTACTCATTCCAGTTTCATGAATTGGACAGCCAAAGCCGCAATAAACTTTTATTCGATGCCCGCGAAGCCTTATGTACCTTCTATAATGAAATGAATAGACAGCTATCGAGCGAACGGAACGGACAGTCTAGCACCACTATCAGTCTCCGAATGACATATCACATGTGCCTCATATTGGTGCAGCGACCCCTATTGCGCGAAGACTCCAATGGTGCTCTTTACCGCATGGCTGTGCAATCATCAAACTCTTCAGCTGTCGCTATCACGAATTTGCTCCGAGACTATCGAAAAGCCGGATGTCTCCGAACCGCTCCTTTTGTCGTAGTACACCATGTTCTTACCGCAGCCATTATGCATCTGCTTAGTGTAACCTCCTCGAATGGTACTTTGCGTAAGCGATCAATTACTCGATTCCGAGAGTGTATAGAAGCGCTAGGAGAAATGAAGTATGCTTGGAAGCGATTGCGAAAGGCCATCGCGTTGCTTCAAGAACTTGCGCATAGATGGTCTGTAGTATTTGCATTGCCAATGCGACTAAGCTATCCTCTGCCCGCGCACTCCCAAAATGATATTTCAAGCGAGCATAAAGATCAATCATCGATGGAATACCAAATCACAGCCTCTTCGGAAACACACAACAAAGACGACAATTTTGCAAATTCCTACTCGGCCGACAAGCTCGAAAATCTTCCTTTGAAGGACGATCTTCCTGAAACAGAAATTAAGCAAGGTAGAGGTTTCGCAAATTCTGACTTCACGCTGGGAATTTATGAAATGGGCGACCCGTTTCAGTTAAACGATATGAATTGGTTATTTCCTCCTTTAGATCAACCTTAAACAACTATTTCCCTATCTTTACGAGTATATACCTCGCTCTTCTCCAACACGAATACCTCATTTAGGCCCAGAGAAAGTCAACGCAGTTGTTGTATCCGCCCATGATCGTATCCTCTTTCCAAATATATACATTGGGACTGTCGTCAGCATGATACCTAAAGTCAACGCCGTAAAAGTTGAGAAAAATACAAGAGGGCCGGCTGTAGTATAATAATCGTTAAATGCGAACGTGAGACCGAAAGCAAAGGCGCTTTTAATAATCTAAAATAAATGTTAGACAATTGCTTCCTCATCTTGTCTTCAAAGAAACGATAGCTTACCATAGCAAGACCAAAGGCTTCACCGGATCGCTGACCGCATACATCGTTGGTGTATGCAACAACGCCGGTGCACCCAGCACCAACCGCAAAATTTAAAATCGCCATAAAAACACCGCACGTAACTGGCGAGAGGCCTTTATCAATGGCAGCTGCAAGACCAAATCCACCAACAGCCATGGTAATAAATGCCGGTATAATGATAAGAAGACGAAACTCTGGCTCATACATACCACGATTGCGTAGTGCCAGATATCCGACTATCTTGTCGCAAGCCCACCCCGCTGTGAGTGTTCCTATTGTGGATCCAATCAAAGGTGCGATTCCTGCAAGGTTTCCGACTGCGGTTGTGCTCATGCTATATGGTTCTGCTCCAAAGATTTGAGAGACCACAGTGCCGATTAGAATGATCCATGTAAAAACCACCGACCACATTAGACATCCCCAAAGGACTGCTGGGTGTGCTAAGAGAATAATTGGATCTACACAAAGCTTGAAGACACGACTTTGGTCGCGAAACTTTACAGCGCCAAACCCAAAATGATATTTCCAACTGGATACTTGAGAATACCTCTCAACATCTAAGCTTTTGACCTCATGATTTGGTGAGCTTATGATCGATGCTGGTTGTTCTGATTTGTCTTTTGTTGGAGTTGAGCTATCACCGGAGATATCGACTTCAACGGAGTTATCTAAGGCTACATTGCGGTAGAAAGTCGTCTCGGGGAAGCAGACGAGGGTTGCTGCCAGAATCACAACTCAAAGAATTGCTAGAAGCCAGAAGCTCCAGTGCCAGGACAGATTGGAGATGACATATCCACTCACAATCGGTGTGAGATTGTTTGAAATCATGACGCTGAAATTCCAAAGTCCAATACGTCTCCCTCGCTCGTGCACAAAGAATACATCCGTGATTGAAGCGGTACCTGCCATCGCAAAAAAGTCGCCCATTCCAAGACCTAAGGTGATAAGTCAATAGTGCTCAAATTGTTCCAGAAAGATCTTTACTAGAACTCACCTTGTATTGCGCGCGCCGCCAATAGGGAATTGTATGAACTTGCTGCGCCAGCCCAGCAACATCCAGCCACAATAATAGTCGTCGTTACAAGATACACCATTCGCTTTCCGTATACTTCGGCTATACAGGGACAAAGGTATGCGCTCACACCAAGAGTCATGATCAAGCTCCCATTCAGAAGAGCCATATCAGTCAATTGCACATCGAGCAATATGGCGACCGTAGTAAAGCCAGGCACAAGAACTGGCCCTAATGACCCGGCTGCACATGCCCCGAAGACAATAGTCCCGAAGAGGAGTTCTTTCTTATATCGAGGCCATTTCGATGGATCTAATGGCGAGTCGGATGGCTTGGGGACAAGGATGAGTCGCGTCTCGATTCCGTCTGGGTCTGATGCACTGCGCAAATTCTCTAGGAGATTCGTTCCAGATGGGATTGTGCTTGACACTGGCTCCAGAATTCCGAAAGCCATTTCGATTTTACTTTGAAGAATAGATGTGGCGATTTGCTCACTAAGGAAGCTGTTTCGATTTTCTTCTAAATATGAAGATAATGAAAAAGACTGGATACATGTTTCTAGAGCAAACCATTGCGGCTTCTTATATCTTAAATCCATTTCAGTCTATCTAGACTTTTGGTATCTAATACATGCCATTAATTTCATCTTATCAAGTGGCTTGATTGATGTGATCTTAGTCTTATCAGACAATCAGGCGGCTCAAACATGCCGCCGTGATAGCTTCATGTCACGGCCTTATCCGAGGTTCAGCCGATCTACAACTAACCAACCAACTCATCAGAGTCACCAGTAAGTAACCATGAGGTAATATCTTCATATCTTTTACAATTCAGCATTTGCCCCCGAGAAAAGATAAATAGCGAACTATTCGTCTTTCCTGAAAAGTTTTGTATTCACAGAAATAACACAACTTTGCGGAACAATTCAGCTAAAATTCAGCAAAAATGACCCAAACACCGATACCACCCAGATATGTACGAGTCGCAGTGACACAATTTGAACCTGTTTGGCTCGACTTGCAAAAGACAGTTGATAAAACATGTCTTCTTATCAAAGAAGCGTCTGTAAATGGGGCACAGCTGGTATCATTCCCAGAATGCTGGCTCCCAGGGTATCCATCATGGATATGGTAGCAGTTCCTTCACTCATAGATTCTTAGTTCTCGCTAACGATGAATACTTCTTCAAGGACTCAAAGTGTTGATTTTGATCTCTCTACTACCTATATCAAGAACTCATTACGCATCGATTCACCCGAGATGGGTCGCATATGTGCAGCAGCGAAAGAAGGCAATATATCAGTCGTGTTAGGTTTTAGCGAGAATTGGAATCACTCTCTTTACATTTCTCAAGCAATAATCGATCATGAAGGCATCATACAAGTGAAACGTCGAAAGCTTAAGGCTACACATATGGAGAGAACTGTATTTGGCGAGGCATCGGGATCATCGTTGACGAACGTAGTTGATCTCGCTGGCATTGGACGAGTGGGAGCTTTAGCTTGCTGGGAACATGCACTTCCTCTACTCAAATACCACAGTTATAGCCAGCGCGAAAGTATTCACGTCTCCCAGTGGCCACCAATATGGGAACATAGTGGAGGGCCTGATCTTTGGTCCATGTCCAGAGACGGTATGTGTTTATATTACCATTTGGAGATGATTAAGTTAATGGAGTTTCTTTAGGAAGCCGAACTCTTTCGCAGGCATATGCCATAGAATCACAATCATTCGTCTTGCATACTACAGCAGTGCTAAGTCAGGACGGAATCGATAGAATGGATACTAGTAATGGTCTTGTTATGAACATGCCTGGTGGAGGCACTTCTGCCATTTTCGGCCCAGATGGACGAAAATTGTCCGAAGATTTGTCAGATACAGTTGAGGGTTTCTTATATGCAGACCTCGATCTAGATGAAATTTTGAAATCGAGGAGTTTCTTGGATGTTTGTGGTCATTATAGTCGACCTGATTTGCTGACTATAAGTGTTAACGACATAGAAAGGGTTTTGGCGGACAGTGCGTAAATTTAGTTGATAGACGATGGATAATACTTCATTTCATTTTCCTTCTAAGCTATCTCTGAAAAAAACATAAGTGCCTTCCTACGAACTTCGGTGTACCCAATTTCACAACCTCAGATTCGCATTATTGTCTCAATCGACAAGAAACATGCCACCTCGTACAAGTTTTTCAATCACGAAGTCAGTTTGGTCGCTACCGGCAGCCGCGGACAGATATTTCGTGCATCGTGTCTGATTGATTGATTGATTGATTTCATTTACGTCCACGTTCAGTCTAAGACTATACAGGACGGCTAGGCCTCTAGAGGCTCTAGCGGATAACTTTTTATTCTACAAAAATGAATATATACGATTTAGAGAAGTGAAAACAAATACTGGGGAACAGTGCCCGCTCATTATATGCATTGCATATAATAAGAAAATTGTGAAAATCAAGAAATTGTAAGGAAATCAAAGCCCTCTCTTATTTCCCTAATTACTTCTTCTTCATTCTCTTCTCCTCTCTCCTCTTCTATTACTATTTCTTCCTCTATCTCGTCTTATATAAGAGCCCTGACCAGATGCCATACTCTTATGGCGATTTTGGTAATATTGATGAATTTAATAGCTAATTCAATACCTACTTTTGTATAGAGTAGGAACTATATAATAATCTTAGATAATGATATATTCTTGAATATTTCTTTTCTCTCTGCTTTGTATATAGGATAATTAATAAGAAGGTGTTGTGGAGCCTCAATATTACCATATATATATTTGTTATTAGAGAGTTTGAATCGATGTAAATAAGATTTGATATATCCATGATCTAATTTGAGTTGAAAATATGTATTAGTAGTGTTTCGCTTGATTTCGCTTAATAGCTTGATTTTCGATTCTATTTTCTATAAAAATAGCTTTGAATAGGTTAAAGGGGATTGATTTGATTTGAGTTTGTATTGATTGAGAGTAGAAAGCCATTAATCTGAATCGTACTCTTTAATCATTATACCTAAAAATCCAAAACTTGTTTTGTTTGAAATAGAATATATTGTAATTGCTTCCTTTACTAGTTTATCTATTAGCTCATTTCCTTTTACTAAAGTATGTCCTGAAATTCAATTTAGAGATACTTTAGCTCCTTTTGCTTTGATGATTTCCGCTGCTTTGATTACTCGAATCTGATAAACCTGTCCAGGGTAATCTAATAGTGTTTTTAAGTAATATAGACCAACTTGATTGTCTGAATATATCTTAAATTTGTTGCTAATACAAACAATTATGCTAGTATATTCAATAGCTCTAGTAACCCTGTAAAGCTTTTCATTATATATTAGTTAATTGCTACCAATATTCAATTGTTATTCAACTATTCGAAACAAAATAAATGAAGCTTTTCAAAAGACTGGAATTAAAGGATCAGTTATTGCAGCAGCTACTTTATCCTTCAATAACAATATCATTATTACAATAAATAATCCTTTTACATTACAATTCTTAATAGAAAAAAACAGTTATATTATGACTTTTTATAGTCAATAGACAACGATATCAACAAACAAGGGACGATTCACATATACTCCTTATTTATTTCCCCTGCCCCGGCAGGCTTAATCCTATCAAACCTTGTAACCACAGGAGGCTCCCATCATACCGATAGCGATGCACGCCCCTAGCACACCGAGTGGTTCCTCAACCCAAAGGACGCTCTCCTTCCAAATAGTCACTAACACCTCAGGGACTGGTATACAGCCCCCACCAATTATAAGATCGCCTACAGGCTTTGCCCTTAATGCAATCAAGAAACAATTCAAAAGGATCAATAAGATAGAGGAAAAGAGATGGAAAATAATTGAAGCATTTGCGGTGCTAATAGATAAGCTTGCATAAGGATTCCAAAACCAACAACACAAACTCGCCGCAAAGTTTAAGAATACAATTATTTCTGTTTTGCTAGGAGTAACAGAGACTACCCTTAATCAAGAGAGAAAGTCTACAACGGAGTAATTACAGTTAAAAAACAATATACAAAAACCTATACTAATGTACTGAAAACTTAAATAAGGCCTGAGGTAGCAAGCCCCACTACAGGCTTCACTAATATAATACACTCTGCTTTTAGTGGAAGTACAAATACTAATCGCTTGGGAGCATACAGACTCAAAAGGGAGAATGATCGGATCGAAAAAACGATCCTTATAATAACTGGCGGGGAAGCTTTGTTTTCAGAAACTAGCCTATTCCTATTAAGACTCAGAATAAAAGAGGCAATTGCTAGGATTACATTAATAGAGATTCCCTTTCTTTAGAGAAACAATACAAACTGGACATTAAGGTGCAACTTTAGTGCTAGTCAAAAGGAGATTATGAAAACAGAAAATGTTGAGCGAGTACTTAAAACCCTTTATGTAACAAGTATATGTAGATTAGAAAAATGGTTTATGTATATAGTCCCACAAGTACTATACGATTTCTATCATATCGAAAGTGCTCCTGCTCCTATACCTACTGAGCTTATCAAGAAGGAGATCACAACTCAAACCGGTAAGCAGTCAATCAATTATAGATTGGCATATAACAGGGTTAACCCGATTACTAAAAGAGCCACCTGAATTATTGACTTCAATACTGCAGTACTGCGGTTTCGATTATTCAATAACAGCTCCTATTCGGTTCTCCTAGATAAACCCGGGAAATTCAATTTTATAGTATTAGTTGTCTAGAATATTGTAACCCCTTTACCTATAATAGAACCTTAAGATGCTCGATATGCGGTAAACTAAATATTGAGTATAAGAATGCATTTGTATATCAGTAATATACTAAAGCAGCTCAATGCACTAATTGTCATGGGCCCTTCTGCACTGACCATTCCAATTGCCCAGCTGCTCCTAGAGTCTACGCTAAACAACGGATTGTTCTAACCGTAAAGGAACTAGCCACAGTCAGAACTGTTGATAGAAAAGACTATGAGATACTACATAGAGCAGATATAGACAAAACGGATCACACCCCTGAACTACCTTTACCTTCTAGAGTAACAATCGTAGAAACCCCGATCACTTTGGGGGCGAGAATTATAGCATATAAGAATAAATACCTTAGCAAACATCCGTGTAGGTTTAGTACAAGTCTGCCGATCACACTAATTATGTTATGCACACACCCAGCTTGTAGCCAAAGCCAGCGGAATCTCAATATAAAAGTCTTAGCAGAAAAAGCCTTTACTCTAATAGATCTGGAGATGAACAATATAGAGACCTTTATAACGGTAGATATTGTATCTAGATCCTCTTTATAAATAGCATAATCAACAAGTACACTCAGAGAAACAAAAATCTCACTATTGCTTAGGTGAATGTAGATTGGGGATACGCGAATCATATTATACTATTATAGCTAATAGCTAAAGCTCAGCTGGATATAATCTGTTTACAGGAGCCAAGATTATA